CGTTGCTGCGATTTGCGCCACCTGTTGGTGGTGATGGTGGTGTGATGGATGCAGCTGTTGCAGTGGCGCGAGGCCGGTCCATACCGGGGCGGCAGAGGAGTACACGTGCATACGCGTGTGTGCGAGGCGTAAGATGTCTGGACCGCGGCGGCGGCAGTGCCAGTGCTGTTGCTGGTGCTGATAGTCGCGTGCTCGTCTACGCCCCGTCATGTGTCGTGTAATTGGTTTAAGGTGTTACATGTGTGGCTACTGCATGCGCTGTTGTGTCGCGTTGCTTTATGCTACCGTTGCTGCTGCTGTTCTTATTGGCTGCTCAGTGGACATGATTGTAGCCTGCAGTGGCGGTAGTGTTAGCATGTGGTGCTCCATGCATTCTACACGAGTGTGCGTTTGAGGTGTTGCGCGATTCCGTGTGGTGACCGCTGCTCCTTGCGTGTTTGTGCGTCCGCTCGGAGTGTGGGTGCGTGGATGGACGGCGGCAGTGGCAAATGCACGGTGCGCCAAGACTACAGCCGCTGTGAGTCGTGAGGACTGCCGCTCCTTGTAGGCTGTGTGGGCTGGCAGTCTGACAGGCGGGTGGATGGGCGACTGTGTCGGCTAACCGGGTAATTCACTAACTGTGTGCGGTGGATCACTCGGCTCGTGCGTCGATGAAGAGTGCAGCCAACTGTGTGAGTTAATGTGAATCGCAGACTGCTTTGAACGTCGACATCTTGAACGCAAATTGCGACCACAGGCTTGCCTGTGGTCACGTCTGTCCGAGCGTCGGCTTGTAAACTATCACTGCATGCAATGGGCGGTGGCTGGGGAGAATGCTGTGTCGTTGCGTGCGGTGTAGCGTGCGCCCGCGGAGTGGTGCGGCTTCTCGCTAGGGTGCTGGCGCCGTCGCCTCCGGTGGCGTGGGGTTTGTGGTTGTGCTGCTGCGGTGGCCACAGTGCGATGAGGGGCTGCATTGTGCTGTGGCGTCGATGCGCGTGTGCGCCGGTTGCGCCAGTAGGCTGGCGGGTGGTGATGCGGTTGCAGTCTTTGCAGTCCACAGACCGTGGCCCAGTGTGCGAATGGGCAGTTGTGTGCGTGGGTGTGAGCACGTTGCGCGCGTTATGTGGACTGTGGATGCTGTGGTGGATGGGGCGTGCCTTCTTCTTCACCCGCCACAAACAATTGCGTCGTTGTGCGTGTAACGCCTAGCCTTGTC